AATTGTTCCCCCACAGCGGCCCACTTTTTGTTTTCAATTTCCCCCCCCCCCCCTTCATCCAGTTGTTTTGAGCTTCTTATCTGCAGCCCAGTCATTTCCATCAGAGGCTTCATTCATCAGTTTTTCTTTTTTTGGGAGTCCAGCTTTAGATGTTAGACAAACAGAGGCCTGGTTGGTACAGGGAGGTTTCCTGTGTACAATGCACGGTCGATGGAGACTCCACAGCTACGGTAACGTCAGGGAGACAAACAGGGTTTATCTACAGCATCAGTACATCTGGCTGCAGTGCAAACAATACCAGAGTCTGCAAACACACAATCTACTTTCCATTTGATCCAATGTTGCTGGCAGTGGATGTAACACTTTCAATGCAGTTTAGGATTGATTTTATCATTTAGCCACAGATCAGATTTTTGATTGGAATTAAGCGTGGACTTTGACTAGACCATTTAAGGCATGAAAATTATGACTTTTAGGGTTGTTTCTCTGCTGGAAGGTGAACCTCCAGTTTCAAATCTTTTGCAGCTGCTAACAGGTTTTATTCCAGATTTGCCCTACATTCAGGTTTGATCAGTTCCGCTTTTTGGCCGAATTATGCTGACACACCTCAGAGTATTGTTTTATAATCCAACCCTGCTTTAAACTACTCCACTCATGACCTGTCTGCTGTATTTCTTTATCTTTATGATGATGTTAGCTTAATGTTTTTTAACAAACCTCTGTGATGTCTGCACTGTACCAGGTTGTTTAACTGGATTTCTTTTAGATTAAAACACACGGCACACTTTTTAGATATTTGTCAGAAAATTTTAAGAGCATCCTTTTTCTTCCACTTGACATATAACACACAATTTTGTCTATTACTTAAAGTTCTAGTCAACAACATTAGAAGTCTTTGAGAAAACCAAATATGAACATTTTAAGCTGTATTGCCCAGCTGATTTATTGACCCTGATTTCCTTAATTTTGGAAGATCTGACGATACTTATCCACCAATATGTGCAAATGTCTCAGCCATAAAAGAAGGCTGAAGAAGTTTATGATGTGAAAAAAATAAAAGATTAGAGGAACTGATTGTTTTTGGTTTGGCTTAGATGATATAGTAGCTTGGGCAGCAATCTAAACATTACATTCAGATTTGATAGTAAAACTAAATAGTTTTATGGGTTTTGTCCAATGTTTTTCAATAAAATAAGATTGGAACACTGAAGGTGTATTGTAATCTTATAATATCTGTTGTGTAAGTTGTAAAAAAAAATTTAAAAATTTGTGTAGGTCAAAATCTGAAAGGTAAGGTCAGTCTTTTTAAAAAGTCTGATTGGACTGATGCCTAGTATTAATGACTTTGTAAAGTCCTGAAACTCTTTGAAACCCTTGAGTTAAAAACCACAAAGCTGAAAATACAGAAATCAAAACATCCACAATATGAAAATATTTACTTCTAAAATATTTAAGCACCTGCGATTCAAAGTTTTAAAGTCAGTGTTGTAACCTTATATTAGTCTCACTTCAATACTTAAAATGTAAAGGGAAGCGACAGCTTTTAAAGATGAGAAAATATTTTAAAATAGTTTAGGAAAACGTAAAAAGGTAAAGCCGATACCATTTCTGAAAACTACAATGAGACTGATCGTAGTTTTCTTCCCAATAAAAAGTGGGGAAGAAATACGAGGAGAAAAAATATTATTAAAACTGGAACAACAATGCATAACATTTAAAATATTGTGTCCCACCAAATATTGTCCCCAAGCATTTCTTGCGATTGCAATGTTTCACAAACACATTCTGATTCGATATATTGTGCATCCGATCAGAACTCACTGAACTCTTTGGTCATTATTTCTATCAAAAATTATGATTAAAAGTTTCCTGTAACTGTAAAGAACTGCCACAGTTTTAATGGATTTCAAATACACCACCAAGGTCTTACACATGCCAAGTGAGATAAACACATTGATTAATGTAAAACGATGATACGGTGAGGAAATCTTACCAGAATTTTAGAGCATCTTTGGTGCTGTTATTGGGGTGGTGTTGCACGTAGTGGAAGAGACAGAGGAAATTCTCCAGACTCTGAAGGCTGATCTGAGAATCGACACACAAACGAGAAACAAGAGCGACAACGAGATTGGTACTTGCACAAAGACGAAGAGGAACTGAGATGTGTATCAAACAAACATTTCCTTTTCTCAGGAAGCTTAACAATGAGTTAGATAGTTTTAAAGTGACAGCTCAGGTTTGATTTTTCAAAAACCACTGGGAACTAGTGTGCAGTTTTTATTTCTCCTCTATTTCTCAAGTACAACAAATCAATAATACTGAAATAACCCCATATTAGATTAAATCTGAGTGAAGAAGTCAGAACAAGAGAAACTGTGACTTTCTAAATGGTGAGATGAGCCATCTGACCTCGCTTAACAGCATTACTGGTTCCAGGGTAGCATGCTAAACCTTCCTGGCTTACATGCCAGCCGCTAAACCAGCGTGCCGCTGTCCGTCATCCCACACAGGAGGCTTCTTTACGCTTCTGCTAATCTGACACCACTGATGGGATTCATTCAGACAATGCTGATCCCTGCCTGTCTGGGTCAAGAAGCCTGAGAATCCACACCGCTTCACTATGACTTAAGATGGCAACAACACGACTAGAGATGAAACGATTAATCGGATAAATCGTGAAATGTCTAATTTAGGAATTGATTCATCGTAAACTGGAGTTGACAGACTCAAAAAAAAAAAAGGCCAAATGCTGAAATAACAACATAGTCAGAAAAATAATTAAGCCAAAATTGTACAATTTTGCATTTAAAATAAAGAAAAACTTTATAAATATGTTCAAACCAAGTGACATAGTTGTGGCTTCTATTAAGCCCCTTTTGCTTTCCAAAAATAGAAAAATAGTGAACAGATCTGCCCTTAACGATGTTGAATCAAACAGAAAGCTTTTCACATGTTGATGTTAAGAGTATTTTTTTGGTTGAAAATGCATCCTTTGATACAAATGACCAAGAGTTCACCATAAAATATTTACTTTCTTATTTTAAAAAGAATGGAATTGTTTATTTGCATTTTAAAAATATATTTCTATATCTATTTTATAAAAGGAGTGTCAATTTATCCAAGTAATCTATTATCCAATAACCAAAACAATCATTAGTTGCAGGAATAGACACAATAAAGAGTGAAAACGGTTTAAAAAGAACATTTTTGGTGCAAACCACTAAAACATCTACTTCAACAGGAACAGGCTGATAAAATAAACCATAACTAATATTTAGATTACCTAAAATGTGATGCTCAAACACAGGTAAGTAAATATAAACATGTAAGGATAAAGGTAATTTAAATAAATTCAACACGCACATTTTTAAGTATTAAAGCATGGAGGTTGTAAATACTCCTGACCATATTTTATCAGGCTGGTTATTATGTAAATTATATTTCAAGATGCAACACTCTTAAAAACAGCTTTTACTTGACAGATCTACTCTAGAGATCAACTGATTTAACACGTCTGCATTTTGTGTAGCAGGTTTGCAAATTTTCAGAATATCTTCATCAGAGTGTAAACCTCATTTGTAAAACAGCTGAAGAAATGAACCAAAAACATTTGAATAAATCTACATATGAAGTGTGTAAACTGCATTCGTCCATCCAAAATATATGAAACACTGTAAATAGGAGAGAAAATTGACTCAAATCTTGCAGTATAAAAACAAAAAGAGCAATTCTTTTATCAATCTCTATCCAATTATCCATAAAACTGGATTAAAAAGGAGACAGATGGTGCAAAAATAGTAAATAAATGAGCATGTATCTAACTAGTTTGAGTGGTCCTGGCTTTCAAATTCTGCGTATTTTTCAGAAAGCGGATTAAAAACTCACTTTCACTTTTCATTGGTGCACAAATAGCAGAAGTTGACCCTCCTTCAGTAAGAGGTGCTGCTGCTATATTTGTTTACAGGGTGCAAAATTGTCTCTCGAGCTTAGAAATTAATTTTTTAATACATTTAGATCTGCATTTTAAATGTATTTTATAGCCTCAGCTGCATAATTTCAAAAATATTCACATATATGGGATATTTTGTATTTGTATTTTTATTTCAGTTAAGAGTTAAGAAAAGTGCATTAATGTATCACGTCTTTTCAGAGAAAATGTAGATATGCAGGTTATAAAGTTATTATGGACGGAGATGTTGTGAGCAAGAAGGATATCCAGTAACAGTCAATCTTGCATCAAATCTGAAGAAGCCTCTGACAGAAGTCAGTTTCATAGCTGTTATAATATGCTAACAGCTCAATATGCCTGCAACAGAAACATCTCTTGCCAGCATATTGAGCTGTATCTAAAAAACAACATCTAAATAATCCAAATCTAATTTTACTCTGAACATACTAAAGAAAGTGCATTTCGTAGTTTTAAATCCTGCAGGATGAAGGTGCAGAATGGACCACACTCACCGGGGTCAGGGTCAACAGCTGGGACAAAAACCCAACCAAAGCACTGATGGGTTTGGTGAGCAGGTGGGTGGATGGGTGGGTTTGGGTCACAGCATTTCAGGGGGCTGAACAAAACCATACGCAGGAATCAAAAAAAAAGGAGGAAAAAGAAAGGAATGGATGAGAGAGTGGAGAGGAAGACAGGGGGAAAACATGAAAGCTGACATGATCACAGTGGTGAAAGAAACAAATGCAACAGATGAGAAGCAGATATAAAAGTAGGGGAGAAAAACTGGCAGTAAATCAAAGCTGCAAAGCTGCCACATCTGTCATTAGTTCATATAAACTGTGCCCTGAAGCAGCTCTGGACCTGAACTTGTGCTGTTAAATAAATCTAAAAATTTCTGTCTAAATGGATCCGTTTGTCCCTGCGTTATCTGTGTTTTTGCATTCATCAAATGGGAAAGGAAAACCAAATCGTTGGAGATAATTTCCAAGCAACAGGATTGTTTTTTTTCCTCCAGGGCTCTAATCCAATATTGTAATGCATTCTGCACCACTTTGATTTGATAATGGTGACATGGCCGATACCAGTGAACACAGCTTAGGAGGGAAATTGGTTCACAGAGCTCAGTGTTTAACCTTCCCTGTGAACTGATTAACGTCTTTCATCATTTGCCACCAAACATTACGGTTTTCTGGATGGGTGGAGACCGACTGCTACAGATTATTGCCACCATTTGTTTGTTGATGGAAAAGCTAGAGTGGGCCATGTTTGGCCCCCAGGCCCTGAGTTTGACACAAGTGAGCTAAACTTGTTCATGTGTGGAACAAGTGTTGAAATTTAAATAAGAAATAATAAAAATGATTTGATTTACATTTATAAGCTTGTCTACATACTTAGCAAGGGTTCTTCTTTGCGATACGTTTTAGAAAAATATACAGGAAAGAATCAGCTGTTTTGATTTCAACAACGCTTTGTGAATAAGAAAGTGAAAGTGTAAAAAGCTTATGCATCCACCTACACTTTTATTCGGTCTACACTCTGTGCTTTTACGATTTGGAAAGGGTTTAGTGATCCCAGCCCACCTAACCATGCTAATTCTTAAAAAATGAGGCTAAAGATGGCTTATCATTTGATCTCTGATAATAGAAAGACAAAATGGAAATATAATTTGTCACAGTAAAGGTTATTGACAAAAAAAAGAAGCAAATAAATGCACACAAAATAAAATATAAAAATGTGTACAAAAACAGAACAAAGAATAAAAATACTGTACAGTACGGGCACAATTTCAAATTATGTCCCGTCTTCAAATATATGCAAAACTTTCACACAGACAGTATGACATTTATTCGGCTCAATGGCGACTTATTGTAGGAAGTCTACAAAGAAACATTTTGAATGCTGTTCTTAAAACAGCTTATATTCTGACAGAATCAGGAGGTCAAACGGTAGTAAAAAACAAAACCTGGAGATAAGAGATAAGATAAGATATTCCTTTATTAATCCCGCAGTGGGGAAATTTACATTGTTACAGCAGTATAGTGGACAGAGGAGAACCAATATAAAAATCTATATATACAAAAAAAAAATACAAGTGAATATAGAAATACTGAAACAGGATTGTATGAAATATAAATAAATAAATAAAATAAATAAATTCCAGGTTTATTGCTTGTAGTGGAGAGTAGTGAACTGCTGAGAGCAGCGGGTGTTGTGCAGTCTGACGGCGGCCAGAAGGAAAGACCTGCGGTATCTTTTTAGATCAGCAATCGATAAACTAATTCATCTCCATTACTTGCACTTTTTGAAAACAGAAACTCAAAATGGAATGGAAAACAACAAAACTCAATCCCTCCATTTGCATGAAAGAGATGCATGTTTGCAATATGAAACCTCTCGGATCCAGTGGCTGCGCCCAGTGTGGCGATCATGGGAGAACTGGTCATGGGAGTCTCATAGCTGAGTCACCCTCATCGGTACAAACTCTGCAGCTCTCTGGATAATTGGTTAGACTACAACTTGGCAGAGGGAAGAGCCGTGCTGCTGCTTATGTAACATTTTATTTATTTATTTTTTTCACTCTCTTCCCGTAAGAAATTCCTATTGATGTCATGAGGAGCGCCTAACGTTCCACATTTCCGCTCAAACTGAGCAAAACGTCTCAAACCCACTCGGCTGAAAATAACACGCAGAGGAAGTGTAAACCAATGTTACTTAAAATTATCATCATGCTCTGGTCACTCCGTTCTGCTCTTAAAATGTTTTTTTTTTCTCTTTTTAAAGCAGCAACGGACTTAATAACGTGTCTGTAGGTGGAAAAAAAGCTGAGGCAGAGGAGCAATGGTTCAGAGGTCTGACTCAGCCTGGAACAAGGGAGATGAATTATTCATCCTTTCAGCCAGTCGAGTGGAACAAGTCAGCGATCGGCGCGAGCTGGACTCAAACTACGGGCCAGAACAATAAATGCAGATGTGAAAAAGTCCAGGCAGCTTAAGAACTTCAATTTAATCATCATAAATAACATGAGGAAAGTGTGGAAGCCATAAAAATAAATTTCAATGATCGGATGCTGAGAGCGGTGTGATAATCACAAGACGTCACAGTCGTCTATTTCCCTAAATGAGCAAACAGGTGAGTC